GCACTCCAGCCTGCATGGCAGAGCAAGACTCTGTCTCAAAAAAAAAAAAAAAAAGAAGAAAGAAAAGGCAAAAAACAAAAAAATCCAGTATCCTTTTAGATCTTAGGCTCCAAGGGGCGTCCATCCCCTGATAATGAAGTATGGATTATTATGATCCTGTTAGTCCCAATGTAACACCCCTGTTTTCCGTTTAATAAGTCAAACGGGGAATACAGATTTGTTCAGGATCTTAGGGCAGTTAATGAGGCAGTAGTTCCAGTCACCCCATAGTTCCTAATCCTTACCCAATAATAACTCAAGTCCCTGAAGATGCTCATTGGTTCATAGTATTCATTTTAAGAGATGTTTTCTTTTACATACCTTTACACCTAGACTCCCAATACATTTTTGCATTTGAATGGACTAATCCAGACACTCATGCTGCATCTCATCTTACCTGGACTGTCCTGTCCCCAAGGTTTTAGGACAGTCCCCATCTGTTTGGCAATGCATTGGCAAAAGAGGTAAGGGAACTGCAGTTAATTAATGGATCCCCCTTACAGTATGTTTATGACCTATTAATTTCCAGCCCTACTAGGGGAAGACTCTGATAAAAGTACAATTCAAGTCCTTAATTTTGAAGCAAAACAAGGGTATCAGGTGTCCCCCCCAAAGGCCCAATTTCTGTCCAAATGGTCACATATTCGGGACACATGCTCACTCCTGGGACCAGGATCTTGGCCCAGGGATGAAAAGAGACCTTGTTGGCATTCCAGGTCCCTCAGATTAAGAAGCCTTTTTGAGAACAGCTGGATTCTGCTGGGTTTGGATTCCCAGGTTTGGGCTCATAGCAAAGCCATTCTATGAACCTCCAAAAGGGAGTGGTCACAAGCCTTTGAATTGGAGTGGAACCTGTCAACTGGCTTTTTTTTTTTTTTTTTTTTTTTTGAGACGGAGTCTCTCTCTGTTTCCCAGGCAGGAGTGCAGTGGCGCGATCTCGGCTCACTGTAAGCTCCGCCTCCTGGGTTCACACCGTTCTCCTGCCTCAGTCTCTCCTGCAGCTGGGACTACAGGAGACCGCCACCACACCTGGCTAATTTTTTTGCATTTTTAGTAGAGACAGGGTTTCACCGTGTTAACCAGGATGGTCTGGATCTCCTGACCTCGTGATCCGCCCATCTCAGGGTCCCAAAGTGCTGGGATTACAGGCGTGAGCCACCACGCCCGGCCTCAACAGGCATTCTTAATCTTAAAAGAAAAGCTAGGGACAGTCCCTGCTTTGGGACTCTCACACTTAGAAAAACCTTTCACCCTCTGTGTGGATGGAAAACAAGGGACTGCTTTGGATGTTCTAACTCGAAGACTCAGGAATTACCTTGGACTAGTGGCTTATTTCTCTAAACAGCTAGACTAGGTGGCACCTGGGTGACCAGGAAGCTTGAGATCTGTGGCTACCATCACTCTGTTGGTAGAGGAAGCCAGTAAGTTTAACTTGGGACAATTAGATGCCGTACCAACCCCCGCCCCACACCACCCCATGAAGTACAGTACAGAGGGTCTTAGAAGCAAAAGTACACCATGGCTACCAGGGGGCCAGTTACTGAAATGTCAGGCCCTTCTGCTTGACACCCCAGATGTTACCCTTAAAGTATGCTGATTTTTAAACCCTGCTACTCTGTTGCTGGACCTCATGTCCCAAGAAACAGATCCTCAACTTATCGACACCTGTGTGGAAACCATGGAAGAGATCTACTCTAGAAGGCCCAACCTTGAAGACAAGCCCTTGTCTAACACCAATGTTGAGAGATTTAGATGGAAATAGCTTTATTCATGAAGAAGAGAGGAAGGTTAGCCAACAAGAAGTCATTGAGGCCAAGTGTTTACCTTCTCAGACTTCTGCTCAAAAAGCAGAATTAACTGCTCTAATTAGGGCCTTCCAACTATGAAAAGACTTAAGGCTGGGTGTGGTGGCCTGTAATCTCAGTACATTGGGAGGCCAAGGTGGGTGGATCACCTGAGGTCAGGAGTTCGAGATCAGCCTGGCCAACATGGCAAAACCCCATCACTACTAAAAATACAAAAATTAGCCAGGTGTGGTGGTGGGCACCTGTAATCCCAGCTACTCAGGTGGCTGGGGCATAAGAATTGCTTGAACCTGAGAGGCAGAGTTTGCAGTGAGCTGAGATCATGCCACTGCACTCCAGCCTGGGAGACAGAGCAAGATTATTCCAAAAAAAAGAAAAAAAAAATCAAGAATCAGTGTGTTTACTGACTCTAAATATGGGTTTCTGGTGCTTCATGCTCTTGCAGCCATACGGAAGGAAAGGGGACTATCAAGAGCCAAGCGATCCCCCATACAACTTTACTCAGATCTTGGAACTTTTAGATGCCATCCAACTCCCAAAGAAATAGCAAGTATTCACAGCAGGGGACACCAGAAGGGAGACACTTTTATGATTAGAGGAAAGTCCCTGGTGGAAAGAGCAGCTAAGGCCACAGCTAAGGAAACCCTGGTATTTCAGGCTGCTGCGCTACTACCAGGTACTCCATCCATGTCAGTGGCACCATACTATACCCCTAAGGACATTAAAGGAACTGAGTAAAAGGCTTCCAGTGAGACCTCTCTGGATGGTTGCTAGAATATAACAAACTCTATTCCTGAGGCTGAGAAATGGGAAATAATTAAACGTTTTCATGATTCCTCACATTTGGGACAGGATTCTCCATTCAAATTAGTTTCCTAAATATTCTTAGGGGAGGGACTGTTCCAAACTATAAAAAGGGTTACCATTCAGGAAGCCACCCCATACCCTGATTCCTGCTTAAACCTGTACAACACCAAGGAACATACCATGGTGAAGACTGGCAGACAGATTTAACCCAGATGCCACCTTACAGGGGACGACAATATTTGCTAGTATTTATAGACACTTTCACCGGGTGGATAGAAGCTTTCCCCACAAGGACAGGAAAAGTATTGGAAGTGTCTAAATTCTTACTTAAAGAAATCATCCCAAGATTTGGATTACCAAAAGCTTTGAAAGGTGATAACTGACCTCCCTTCACAGCTAAGGTGACCCTCCTATCTTCACTCCTCACGGAGATCTCAATCTTCAGATAACATAGAAAGCCAATCATGACATTAGCAAAACTCTTTCAGGGGACCTCAGAGGCCTGAGTTTCTCTGCTACTTATAGCCCTTTTGCATGTGAGGATGGCTCCAAAGAGAACTTTAAAGCTTAGTCCATTTGAAATGACTTATGGAAGGCCCTTTTTAACTTTAGAACTTCTGTTTGATGAAGAGACACATAGATTATCACTTAGGCCAGATTCAAAAGGCCCTTCAACCATATGGAAATGAAATGTAACCTCCTCCCACAAGGATAAGGATTAACTCCCCCATTTGACCTGGAGAATTAGTCAAACTTCAAAGTTAAATTTTTCTTTTTTTTTTTTTTTTTGGGATGTTGTCTTGCTCTGTCACCCAGGCTGGAGTGTAATGGCTCTATCTCAGCTCACTGCAACCTCTGCCTTCTGGGTTCAAGCAATCCTCCTGCCTCAGCCTCCCGAGTAGCTGGGATTACAGGCATGCGCCACCGTGCCCAGTCTCAAGGATTCTTATGAGTCTCACAGATGCCAGAGGAAGATGCCATGACCTACACTTGCAAACTCCCAGAAGACTTAAAGCTATTGTTTTGCAAATGCACAGATAAGTATTAATAACATGATGCTGTGGATGAGCATGAAAGTTTTTCTCTTACTCCTAATTACGATGTTTTCTATCTTACCACTTTGCCCTGCTGATGGAATTCAATAAATGAATCTCTACCAGCAGGCACTTGGTTTTTACCCTTCCTAGGACCTTTAACAGATATCTTGTTATTACTAATCTTTGGTCCTTGCTTGTTTAACCTCCTTGTAAAGTTTGTGTCTTCTAGATTACAATAATTCCATGTAAAGATGATGCTGGCACAAGGCTTCCAACCCATCCCGTATTCTGACCCAGAAAATAAAGACATCCTGCCTTTGGGCCTTTTAGAACAGGTATCCAGAGAGTTTACTTCTCCAATGCTAGGCAGGGTCTGTGCCCATAACATCAGCAGGAAGCAGTTACAGAAGATGAACCTCCACCCTTCTGCAAGCCCCTTAAGATTAAGCAGGAGTATAGAATCTCTGATGGGGAAATGAGGTGGGAGACCAGTAGGACTTATTATCCAGTCACAACCCCATTGAACAGAGCAGGATCTGGTCAAAACAGGGCGCAGTGAAGAAGCCTGCTGGAACCAGCAGATGATGATGAAAGTGACCTCTAGTTGCCCTCACTGCTTATGAGCATAAAGACACTACCACTGGGACGTGGCCAGTTTACAAATGTCATAGCAACACACCTTGGCAATGACCTGAAAGTTACTTTATATGGTTCTGGAAACTCCCTGCCCCTTTTCCAGAAAGTTCTAAATAACCTACCTCTTCATTGGCATGTAATTAAAAGTGGGTCTAAATACAACTAACTAGCAGCCCACAGGCACCAACTCTGGACACGTTGCCTGTGGATTAGCCCTGCTCTGCAAGAAGCAGCACCAGTTCAATAAAAGTTGCTTTCTCTCGCCAGCGACTTGCCCTTGAATTCTTTCCTTGGCAAAGCCACGGAAACTGCAGTCTGGAAGAATTTTCCCAGGTTATGAACCAGTTTTGGGGCTCGCCTGCCCTGCGTCACTACCACTGTTTCCTTGGGTTTCCCAGGAATGTACATGTGTGACACTGCTGCCCTGCTTATAGATCTGTTTCCTTGCAAGGAAACAGGAATATCTTGCCTGCGGCTTCCAGAGTTGGAGATACATGTAGTTTCACTACTGAGTGCTAACATTTACTTTTGGAATCAAGTGATGCATTCAGACTGGTTGCTATCATTTTGTGGTATACATGTAATGAACACATTCGTGACTGAGTTTCCTGCTTTTAGCTGGAGCAAGAAAGTTTTATAATTGTGATTTGTACAAAAAAAATCATAGGCAAGAGAATGTGTGTAAAATAAACTTTACTGTCAGAGGTTTCTAAACGCTCATCCTTCAAGGAAAACGGACATACGCTGAAGAGTTGATAAACAGTCTACAGCAGTGTTATTCTAAATCTGATTCCAAGTCCTTGCCATTTTCCTCCAGCTGCTGTTGACTCCAGTTACATATAGGTTGGGGGAAAGGGGATTATCTATGAATCTAGGTATCACTGTCTCCTGGGCAGTTATCACATTTGCAGGCTGAAGGGATGTGATTTCTACAATCAAACTATCCATTTGGAGTACAAATCTGGAGTGGCTGTAAAATTTGGTTCTCAGAGATGGAGCTTTCAGATTTGGACTTTCAATTGTTCTGTTCTTTCAGTTTTTCTCATCATCTAGGGAACTGTTTTTGACTAAGCTTTGTTAAAAGTAGAGAAGAGCTTTTCATAGTTCCAACATTAGTTGTTACCTGAAATAAACAAAAACACACAGACACACAACTAAACGATAGTGTTTGGTGAGGTTTGCTGATACCTAACTGAGACTGGAGTGAGAGCTAAGTGGTGATACAGGCCAGGTGCAAACTGAGTGCGGCTAAGTGGATAATCTCTGGTAGTGAAGATAATCTCTCTCCTAGAAGAAGATAGTAATAATAGATTGAAAAGAAAGTCTCCTGAAATGAACTAGCTGGCCTGTGGTGTAGGACACAGGACCCCAGCCACCTTATGATTCTAAAAGCCTTGCTCAAAGCCACTGCAGATGAGTTAGCTAGGTCTCTACCACCTCCTCAGTAATAATTGACTCTCCATAATACTCCTGTGGAGAGAAATAAAGTTCTTTCACACCTACCAGGAAGGGATTTGCTTAGCCTCAAATGTGCACATTCAGAAATAGCTTGTCATCAGAAAGAGAGGACAGTTTGCAGAGAAATAACCCTCCTAAGTCCACATTCTATTCCTTTTAAATAAGAGAGTGGTGCCAAGGGAAGAGCCCTAGAATGTGAAAGCCAGCAGGGTGCTCAGATACCACCCAAGTACAGTTCCATCTTTGACCATAAGGAGACAATGGTGTCAAGAGGCTCAGGCCATGTGATCTGTGGGTGAAAAACCTGGGATGACAATCGAGGCTTTAAACCTCTTCCACTCCATCACAGAGTTTAGGAGCAGTTAGAAGGAAGTCTTCAATCTGGAGAACACTAACAGGCTCTAGAGATTATTGGTTCATGGTGGCTGGGACAGAAATAAGGATTCACAGAAAGATGTTTATAGTAAATGTTCTTTTACAGTAAATCTTATTTTGGGATTTTGCTTGATAAAAAGGCTGAGCAAAAGTAAACAACTTTTGTTTGTTTGTTTGTTTGTTTGTTTTTTGAGGCAGTTTCACTCTTGTTGCTCAGGTTGGAGTGTAACGGTGCAATCTCAGCTCACCACAACCTCCACCCCCCAGGTTCAAGCGATTCTCCTGCCTCAGCCTACCAAGTAGCTATGATTACAGGCATGCACAAGCATGCCCAGCTAATTTTGTTTTGTTTTTTTTTTTTTTTTTTGCATTTTTAGTAGAGACGGGGTTCCTCCATGTTGGTCAGGCTGGCCTCAAACTCCCGACCTCAGGTGATCCTCCCAAAGTGCTGGGATTACAGGCACAAGCCACCACACCCGGCCAAAAGTAAAAATTTTCTAATTGCAATTCTGAACCACTTATGAGCTGTGAAATCAATATAGTGATAGTGGACGGCATACTACTACAGGCTTTATTTAAATACTAGGTAGGGTGGATTACACATAGTAAAAGATTTTCAAAAAACTGATCACAAAGAATTGTGTATTTCTCGCTGCATCTTGTGGTCAGAAAAGTTTGAGAAACTGCTCTACATAGGCAAATTATAGGTTCAATCTATCTGTCTACCTCTTTTTCCCTTCTCTTTTTTCCATGCTATGCAAACAAGACCATGGAGAGAGGAAGGCAGATTCCATCAATGGGTGGTGTTAAGCCTTTTCTATGAGGTAGTTGTACATTTGGGACACCTCTATGCTGGTGACTTGAGATTCTAGTAGATAGATGGTCCTTTTCATCTCTAGCCACATGTTAAAATTACTTGGGAACTTTTCAGTACTACTAGTGGTTTCTACCCACCTGGAAGCATTTAAATCAGAATCTCTGTGTAGAGTCCAGGCACTTGTGTTAGTTAAAACCTCACCAGGCTTTATAATATGACAGAATGGTTTAAAGCTACTGAGTAGACCCACCTATTTCCCACCATTCTGTTTCTCTTTCACCATAGGCTTCTTTCCCATGAGAAAGTGAAGACGTCAGTCTGTCTTTTCACAGTCTCAAGTAAATCGCTATCTTTTCTCAATTGGCCTTCCAAGGCAAAGATTTCTTTCCATTTATCTATCTGAATTTTTACTAAGTTGTCCTCTGGATTCCCTTTTCTCAAAGCTAATTCACCACAAAGGCACTGATCAAGTCAAGGAGCTGGGCTTTCATACACCTGCACCTGTCAATCATGGGTAAATACTTTGCAGGCGGGGTTGCTGGGTGCTGTGGGATTGACATAAACTCCCAGATATTGCCAGCTGTGAGCCTCAGGCAAGCTTGTGACTAAGTGACTCCAGTAGTCTGAGGACAGTCCTTAGAAGGGTCTTTGGAAGCAAAAGCAAACATAGGCATGAGAGGTTGAAAAACAAAAAAAGAAATCCCATCTGGTCTTGGCTTATACCTAACAGAACTTGTGCAAGAATGGATACTAAGGTGGGTATTGTACACAGTAGAGCTTAGTAAATACCAAGTCTGGAGTTTAAGGGATAGGCTGAAGAAATTTTGCAGGTTTGTAAACATTTTTGCCAATTTGAACATACTTTTGTTTACGTTTGGTTTTTCTCCTCAGTGGTAAGAGCTAGGCACAGAAAGGTAGCTAGGATATTATGATTTAAATCAATAAATTTGTATTTTGCCAAGGACCAAGATGAACTATGACTATTTCAATTTTTTAGTACTTTATTTTCATCAGTTTGAAAATTAGGACTTTTGCTCCTTTTTTGGCTTATGACATCTTTTTGGTTTTCACACTTTCTCAAAGACCAGTAACTTAGAATCTAAATTATGATTGCTTATTGTTTCAGTACTCTAAGGGAAAGTTGATTTAATCTTGACAAAATGTATTCAGTTAAAATAATTGTTCTCTTACATTTTTTTCTTTTTTTTTTTTTTTTTTGAGATGGAGTCTTGCTTTGTCACCCAGGCTAGAGTGCGGTGGCACAATCTTGGCTCACTGCAACCTCCGCCCTGGGTTCAAATGATTCTCCTGCCTCAGCCTCCCAAGTAGTTGGGACTACAGGCGCGTGCCACCATGCCCAGCTAATTTTTGTATTTTTAGTAGAGACCGGATTTCACCATGTTGTTCTCTTAAATATTTTCACCTTTTAAGTTTGTCCTTCTCTTCTCCAATTTGCAATAGTGGAGTGTGGCTTGTACCTAAATAGTGTATTTCTTAGAGCTACTTATTCCTGGAGGCTGGCAGTCTGGGGGCCTGGAGGGGGTGCATCTAGAAAGCAGCCGTCTCTAAGTTGAGAATAACTATGAGAATCGTGGGTTATAAGGCTTTGAGCAGCTATGGCCTCCCCGTCCTCTTTTGTTTCTAAGTGGGGTGTGACAAGAGAAGGGACCCATCTGAGAGTGACTTCATATTGTGGCCTTTCACCACTTACCTCTGGAAATTTGATTCAGGCAAGCCGGGGGAGTCTCCGGTATTCTTCTCTGAGAACTCTATTTTCATTATACAGCTGGACAACGGAATCTATGATCTGCCTGTAGAGGTTAGAGTTGCATCCTGTTCCAGGAAATAATTACAGTTTAGGCAAGTTATACACGTTTGCTTAAGAGAATGCTTTCTGCACATTTCATGTTCTTCCTCTCTATCTTAGCCTAGGGAGAAAACCGTGGGGACTCAGGGCTGGAACTTTAGTGTGATGGGGCAGAAGCTAAATTTTCACATGATTCTGAACAAATGCCAGCACATCACATGTATTATCATGTCCAATGGCTGAAATATGAAGGAGGCTTTCCTGAAATAGTTGCTGCTTTGGTATGGGAAGGGACCTGGTTACTGTTCTTCTGGCCCAGCATGATGTTGTGAAATGATGGCCTCTGTGTGAGAGCAATCGAAGAGGAGGGGGTTGGAGAGAACCACCTTGGGGTGGTAGAATGAAGAGTAACCAAGACATAAGGGAAGCTGATGAGGATGGCAGCAGAGGAGACTCTCATTCTGCTACATGAGGTGCTCAGAAACCTGGGTTCTAGTGAATGCCAATCACATAAGAAGCAGAGAGACAGCAGGCGGTGTACAGAAGCAGAGAGAAGACAGCAGACAGCCTGTGAATCACAAGAATGATTTTAGAGGTAGACACCTCTAAGATGGAGGCAATTCTTTAAGCCTATTTATTCACCTATAAATAGGAATGATAGTAGCTGCCCTACCTCTCTAGCTGGGACATTTGTAATGAATAAGTGAAGTAAAGTATGTCAAAGTGCTTGAAATCTACAAAACTCTGCCCCAGTCACAGGCCTTTAGAACAATACATATTGGCCGGGCGCGGTGGCTCATGCCTGTAATCCCAGCACTTTGGGAGGCCGAGACGGGCGGATCACAAGGTCAGGAGATCGAGACCATCCTGGCTAACATGGTGAAACCCCGTCTCTACTAAAAATACAAAAAACTAGCCGGGCGAGGTGGCGGGCGCCTGTAGTCCCAGCTACTCGGGAGGCTGAGGCAGGAGAATGGCGTAAACCCGGGAGGCGGAGCTTGCAGTGAGCTGAGATCCGGCCACTGCACTCCAGCCTGGGCGACAGAGCGAGACTCCGTCTCAAAAAAAAAAAAAAAAAAAAAAAAGAACAATACATATTGCCAGAAGCAGATCACTTGGGCCTCTCCTACCATTTTCTTCATCAAAGCTGCTGAGATAACGTTCCAGCTTTTCTCGCAGGCAGTTGTTGATGAAAAGGGTTTCCTTCAGGTGCTGCCGCTGGCTCTGGATCTCATCTTCTGCAGCCGTTCCACCAGGACATGGAATGAGATGGGAAATGAAGAATGCCGATCACTGAAGGGGTAGTCAGGGGCCTCTCATCAAGATCCCTGCCCTTCACCATGCTTTTGCCAACTTCATCTTCTCATCAGGGAACATAAGGCAACTTTCTTTAAGAGCTTTTAAGGTTTCAAACAAAGCATGGCCAAGTGCTAAGCAGACTCCACAGGGATGCCTCCCACAGGGAGATATGGGAAGTATAAGGCAGGTTGACAGGAGGTGGGAAAACACTGAAGGTCTCTGAGCAGGGCTTTTCTAGCACTAGGAAAGGTGTGACCACCTCCTTGAGATGACTTATAGGTACTAGGGAACATCTTCCTCTCTACAAAATATCTCTCCTGAACATCTTTATTTTATTGTTGTTTTTTGACAGAGTCTCATTCTGTCACCCAGGCTGGAGTGCAGAGGTACCATCTTGGCTAACTACAACCTCCGTCTCCCAGGTTCAAAGGATCCTCATGCCTCAGCCTCCCGAGTGGCTGAGACTACAGGCATGCACCACTATGCTTGGCTAAGTTTTGCATTTTTAGTAGAGACAGGGTTTCACCATGTTGGCCAGGCTGGTCTCGAACTCCTGACCTCAAGTGATCCACCCACCTAGGCCTCCCAAAGTGCTGGGATTATAGGTGTGAGCCACCGTGCCCGGCCCTGAATATCTTTAACAGATGGTAATGACCCTCCTCTGCACCTTATTGTGAAATTGTAAAGAGAAATAAGGATACCTTTGTCAGAGGATGGTATGAGTAATAAAAGCCACATACTTATACCCATCCCTGACAAAATGACAAGCCTAATATGGTTTATATTACTATGAAAGCTCAGTGAGTGAATTAATATGGTCTCTTTCTATTGTGTAGAAGAGTATATTATAGTCCCCTAACAATCCAAACTTTTGCCCCAAAGTAAAGTCAAACATTCAAGTAAGGGAGAGGAGACATAGGTCAAGGTTTTAATCTATACATACACCAGTGAGGCACCAACCCAAAGGGCTCTTATATACCTAGAGAAGCTCCAATGGCTAGCGTGGAGTCATTCTGGGAAGAGGGCATGCTGGTGGCATTGCTGTTAGATTCAGCCTTTTCTCCAGCAGATAGCCTCGTTGTTTATTTAGATTGAATTACAACATTGAGACTAAACTAACAGAGATCGTAAAAATACCTTGGTGCTGCACAAAGATTGAGAATCCGGGCTATTCACCAAAGGGTTGCCAAGACCAAAGTCTTGTCTTTATGGAAGTCCCCTGATATTCTAGTAGTCAGATGGAACCTTATGGGAAAGCAAGCACCTGAGGGGAGATGGAGACTGGAGCTTGAAATTATAATTGCACCTCCAAACATATGGGCGAGCCTGCCAACATTCTTGGGATGGCTAGAACAGCTTGGGAAAACTCTTCAGGAACTATAATCATCAAGAATATTTCAGGAAGGCTGGGCGCGGTGGCTCACATCTGTAATCCCAGCACTTTGGGAGGCAGGGGTGGGTGAATTGCTTGAGCTCAGGAGTTTGAGGCCAGCCTGGGCCACAAGGCAAGACCCTGTCTCTACCAAAAAGGCAAAAATATAGCCGGGAGTAGTGGCATCATCTGTGGTCTCAGCTACTCAGGAGGCTGAGGTGGGAGGGTCATTTGACCCTGGGCTGTAGGTTGTGGTGAGCTGAGATCATGCCACTGCACTCCAGCGTGGGTGACAGAACAAGGGACCCTGTCTCAAAAAATTTATATATTTCAGGAAAGATAAGATGTCCTGTTTTAAAGAAGGAGATCTGTTAAACGGATTTGTACATGTGCTGCAGTAGTGGCAGAGTCTGCCATAATCTCTTCACTCTCTCCATTCTGGCCTGCTTTGAGTATACCAGCTTACAGATGCCAGTCCGGGCCAGAGGGACTGAGGTGAGGACAGGAATAGAACAAATTACCTGACCCACACTAGGGACCTGTACTTGAGACTTGAAACCAGAGCTGTGTTCAGCCTAATCACTTTTTTAAAGTGGATCTTTAGGGCCTGCCTGCAGAGAATAACATCTCTCAGTTTAGACAGAGCTGTTGAGCATGTAGAATGTAGGAGCTACTGAGAGATTAATGGAGCTTTATTTTTCTTATCAAAGGAGCACTCACTGGCTAAATCCAGAGAAGAGGGGTTTTCCTGTGCTTCAGAGAGGAAGGCATTGCTGCTGGGAAGCTGGTGGGAGTCATGGCGGCTGGAATGAGTCAAATACTGTTCATCTAGTGAGTCCTCCAGGACTTCATCCATTTCTTCCTCCTGGGCCTCCCTCCTGAGCCTGGTGGAGTAGGCAAGACAAGGGATTAAACCAAGGCAGCCTGGAACCACAGCTTCATAGCTAGTTCTGATCTGAAGCTCATGGAAGAGGCACCAAGAGGACCTCTTGGTCCATCATATCAAAGAGGGACCATCATATCAAAGAGGAAGTATACAATCCACTTTTGACTGGGAGTATAGTGAGTCGAGAGTTAGTATAGAAGTGAAAACAGCAAGTGATCAGTGCATTGACCTCATAACACACAGATAAGGCAGCAGACTCAACAACTACTCTAAAATACACTCAGGGCACACAGGACACAGAGAGCCATACTATTGGCTTCAAAATGCTGTGTTCAGATTTTATTTAATATGATGTGGAATGATCCATTGAATACTGGCTCTTGAGACAACGTAACATCCCAGGGCTTTTGCAGATTTTAGACCCCTAGCTCTAAATACTTGCTATGGTTTCAATTTATTTTTCAAGGTAATTTTCTGGCTATAAAATATCTGCCAACATAATTCAGGACAACCGTGCAGAAACCAGATAGGCATCTCCCTTTGGTTTGCAACCATATAGGATTTAAAGATACAGAAACCAGGGATCCCTGGTTAGTTTACTTTTTGGTAAGACTGACTAGTTAACTAAGTGTGAGAAATTACTAGGAAATAGGAACCAATACAAGAACTGCAAAGAGAGCAGAGAACCGTTTTTAAAAGGACACATTGTATAATCAGTCAACAAAAAAAGGAACACTCAGCAGTGTCTGCTTTTTCCAGATCTGGGACCTTTAACCTCTTGAGCCCTTGCTTCTGGAACCCTCTCTAGATTTGAGTCCTTGCTTCTGGAATCCTCTCTAGATTTGAGCCCTTGCTTCTGGAATCCTCTCTAGATTTGAGCCCTTGCTTCTGGAATCCTCTCTAGATTTGAGTCCTTGCTTCTGGAATCCTCTCTAGATTTGAGTCCTTGCTTCTGGAATCCTCTCTAGATTTGGTCAGTCTATTATCAGCCCCTTCATCATTCGGAGTTACCTGGGAGCCAGTAGCTTTTGCCTGTCTTCATTTTTCTTACCATTGTGATTTTCTGCAAACCAAAATTAAAAGAGCTGGTCAGAAATTAAGCAGGTCTCAATTCACACATTGCACACATGGGGCCTGTATGATCAGGGACATAACACTTGACATGTGTGTTCAGAATGCTCTGTGAGAATTATTGCAGGAGGCCTCAGGTTGTGTCTTTAGAGAAGTGGCCTGGCGGGCTTGCCTGGGCCCACTGGACAGGGTGTTCCTGATGTGGTGAATCATCACCATGACATCAGCTGCCTGAAGCAGAGCAAAAGTCTTTTGTTCCCCAGCTCAAAGAATACTTGCCTGGCTGCCCTTTGGACTTCTCCAGTTGTAACCTTCCTTCCTGCCGCAGGCTGGTTGCCAGACCATGACTGTCCCCTTGCTACTCACACACAGAACCTGCTCCAGTCTTGGAGAGGACAAATAGCCCTCTCCTACTTCTACTCCAAAACCAGAGGACTGCCCAGGTGCCTTGAAGTCTGTCCCTGTTGTGCTTCCTCAGATGTTCTTGGGGGTAATTCTTGTTTTTTTTTTTTTTTCTTCTCAGTTTGTTAGTGAGAATTGGGGGTGATTCTATGAAAAAATTCCAGTATAAATCAAGTTTTCTAACATCAGCTTCTACTATATCCAGTGCCTAAACTAACCCCAAAAGATTTGGCCAATTTATTGGGACCTGAAAATAAATGAATAAATAAATAACCCTGAAAGAGAAATACACTCGTGAACATTAAGACACTACTTCAACCGATCTGTACAGCAGCTGTGGAATTATGATTTGACCCACTTTACAAATGAGGAAACAGAAATTCAAGAAGGATCAATCACTTGCACAAAGTTAGTAAATACAGCGCTGAGGCTAGAGCCTAGGTAATTCTGATTCTTAGTCCAGGGGTCTTCCCATTCTAACAGGCTGCCTTCTGTCATACTGTTCTTTCTGACCACAAAGATTGAACGGAGACTTCAGCTTCTGGCCAAGTTGGAGTAATAGGGACCGGATTTGTCCTCCACCTTAAGCAACTAAGAAACTGGAAAAGGTATTTTAAACTCTAGCTTCAACATTGGATATAGTGCAGTACAGTACAGTGATCCCTGAGAGAGAGAAAATAAAAGAGGTGAGCCCTATGACTGCTCCAGTTTCCTGCCTGAGATTGTCAACTGCAGAGCAGGGAGGGAGGACCCAGGCAGAGCCTGGTAGTAAGTTTGAAGAAGTCAGGGTGGCTAGACATCACAGGACAGACTAGAGAATAGATTGCTGCACAGACAGAATGCCTTGGATATCTGTCTTCAATCTTCAGCTAAGTACTGATTAGTACATGTATTTGAGGAAATTATGCAAAGCAGGGGAAAGAACTTCTCAAAAGGAATAATCTCTGTAGCTCACACAGAGCTTGCAACACTTGGTGTTTCCATCAACTACAGTGAAAATCCCTTTTAATAGAGGGAGCATTGGTTAGAATAGGGGTCCCCAACCCCCAGCACTGGTTCATGGCCTGTTAGGAACGGGACCGCACAGCAGAAGGTGAGCAGCCAGCCAGAAAGCATTACAGCCTGAGTTCTACCTCCTGGCAGATCAGCGTTGGCATTAGATTAGCATTGGAGCACAAGCCCTATTGTGAACTGTACATGCCAGGGATCTAGGTTGCACGCTCCTTATGAGACTCTAACTAGTGCCTGATGATCTGAGGTGGAACAGTTTCCTACTGAAACCACCCAACTCCCAACCCCTACCATCCCACCCCCACCTTGTCTGTGGAAAAATTGTCTTTCATGCAACCAGTCCCTGGTGCCAAATCTGTGGGAAATCACTGGCTTAGAACCTTCAAAAGAGTGTTGCCCCCAATGTAAACTGTGGACTTTGTGTGATAATGACACATTAATGTAAGTTCATCAACTGTAACAAATGTACCATTCTGGGGAGAGATGTTGATAGCCTAAGAAGCCATGCATGTGTGGAGGCAGGGAGTATATGGGAACTTTTTGTACTTCCCGCTCAATTTTGCTGTGAATCTGAAACTACTCTAAAAAATAAGGTCTATTTTTTTAAAGGCATATTGCCTCCATAGTGGGAAAAAAGTAGCCGTTGACTAATAGCTGTGCTTATCCTGCCTAAAAAATTTAAACAGCCGGCTTGAAAAGACGCAAATTGTTTTTAAGTAACTTTATTGTATACTAAAACAAAGTCAAAAGAATTTTAACACAAAATGCAAAAAATCCAGCATTCAATAGGTTACAATTTGCAATCTCTAACACCAAATCAAATAGTGTTAGGAATGCAGAGAGACAGAAAACCATAATCCATGATGAGAAGGGAAAAAAAATCAGTCTACTTAAATTGACTTAGAAAGGACACATCAGGTGAGAATTAAAAAACAATAGAAAGGACACAGATGACAGAATCTGTAGACAAGGACATTGAAACAAATATAACTATATTCCTTGTATTAAAGAAGCTAGGCCAGGTGTGGTGACTCATGCTTGTAATACCAGCACTTTGTGAGGTCAAGGTGGGTGTGTCACCTGAGGTCAGGAGTTTGAGACCAGCCTGGCCAATGTGGTAAAACCACATGTCTATAAAAATTACAAAAATTAGCTGGGCATGAAGGCAAGTGCCTATAATCCCAGCTACTCAGGAGGCTGAGGCATAGGAATCACTTGAGCCAAAATCTCACCACTGCACTTCAGCCTGGGCAACAGAGCGAGACTCTGTCTCAAAAAATAGAATAAAATAAAATAAAGAAGATAGAGGAAAATATGAAATGATGAGGAGTTACATAGAAGAGTTTAAAAAAGACATAAATAAAATTTAGATGAAAAATAAAGTCTGAGATGAAAATACACTGGACAGGATTAATGGCAGATTAGATGCTGCTGAGGAAAGATTAATCAATTCCAAGACATGGAAATAGAAAGAAATAGAGAAAAAAAAGATACAACAAAAAATGAACAGACTATTAGTCAACTGTGGTAAAATTTCAAAGCAGCTAATACAAATATAACTGGAGTCTTTGAAGGAGAGAATAGAGAGAAAGAATATATATTATATATATTTGATATATATATGCTATATATATTGTATATGCCATATATAAAACATATACGTCATTATTATTCAAATTTGATCAGAACTATAAACATGCAGATGCAAAAAACTAAATAAAGTAAAACAATACATAAAAGATAAAACTATACAAGGTCTTATCATAATCAAACTGCTTAACACCAGTGATAAATAGAAAATCTCAAGAGTAGCCAGTGAAAAATGACATATTATGTACAGAGGAGCAAAAATAAGAATTATGGTAGACTTCTTGTTGGGAACAATGTAAGCCAGAAGACAGTGGAATATCACTTTTCAAACACTTTTTAAAAACAAAAACTGTCAACTAGAATCCTACGCCCAGTGAAAATATCTTCCAGAAATGAAGGTGAGTTCTTATGCTCATTAAGATGAAGTAATCCACTATACTCTATCCCTCTTACTGATTGAAACTGAGAACTCTCAGGTCAGGCACAGTGGCTCACACCTGTAATCCCAGCACTTTAGAAGGCCAAAGCAGGTGGATCACTTGAGCTCAGTAGTTCAAGACCAGCCTGGGCAACATGGAGAAACACTGCCTCTACAAAATATACAAAAATTAGCCAGGCGTGGTGGTACACACTTGTAGTCCCAGCTACTTGTGAGGCTGAGGTGGGAGGACTGCTTGAGCCCAGGAGGCACAGATCACAGTCAGCCAAGATCGTGTCACTGAACTCCAGCTTGGGTAAGAGAGCAAGACTCTGTCTCAAAATAAAAAACAAAACTAAGAACTCTTGAAAGAACATTAAAAGTGATTACCTGAGTGCTCTAAAGAGAAAACAATAGAATGCAGATTAAGGACCATAGTCAAAACTAAAATAAAATATACAATGGAAATAAGTTTGCATTTTTTCTCCTCACTTTGGGGCACTTGGGAGGAGCTAAGGGTCTTCAGAGCCTGTAGCCAACTTACCTGTGGCCAGTTTTCTGACAAGGATCTCTGTCAGCTGACTTCCTTGTACCATTTGCTCACAGAATCTCTGTCTCTGGTAGTAGGCAATGCCGGTGTTCCTAAGAAGGCCCCCAAAAGACTTGACTGTGTTCTTCACATGCTGGGTGAAAAGGTAGCAGACACCTCTCCCTTCCTGTATCTTCTGTCGTAAGTGGGTCAGTTCTTTAGCCTGAGCCTGAATTAAGGGATCATGTATCCTAAGGTGGGAGAGAGGAGTAAAATGTAAGAGGGAATGTAGTGAATAATAGGTTATAGAAGTTTCAGAGGAGAGATCTCTTAGAATCCCTGTAAGGAACTCCCAAGTTGAATTCTTTTTTTTATTTTTATTTTTTGAGACAATCTGACTCTGTCGCCCAGGCTGGAGTGCTGTGACGCAATCTTGACTCACTGCAACCTCTGCCTCTGCCTCCACCTCCCAAGTTAGAGCAATTCTCTTGGCTCAGCCTTCCAAGAAGCTGGGACTACAGGTGCCCATCGCTACGTCAGGAAAATTTATATATTTTTTGTAGTGATGGGGTTTTGTCATGTTGGCCAAGCTCATCTCGAACTCCTGACCTCAAGTGATCCATGCACCTTGGCCTCCCAAAGTGCTGGGACTACAGGCATGAGCCACCGCACCCGGCCCAAGATCAATTCTTGTACAAGTTGTGTGACTTGCCTGTGGCAGAAGGAATGAAGAAACAGCCTTGGGTTCTGGGTTTGTCTGTTATTTTACTAACTTTGCATTAAAAAGATGCCCCATGGGTTCCCCACTTCAGTCCAAGTACATTTTCATATGATATACATCAAGCATTATGCAGTAGCTGGCAAAAAAAAAAAAAAAAAAAAAAAAAAAGAACCAGAAAAAAAGCAAGCCAGGATCAAAAGTGTTGGGCAGGTATCTCTGGTATGAATTGAAAATTAAAAAGAAAAATCAGTGAAAAAGTCAAGAAGGGCAGTATTCTTTTGAATGACATGAAGATAGGCCATAATCAGTAAGAAGGCTATTAAAACGAAAGTTCTGGCCAGGTGCAGTGCCTCATGCCTGTAATACCAGCACACTGGGAGGCCAAGGCGGCAGTTCACCTGAGGTCAGGAGTTTTGAGACCAGCCTGGTCAACATGGTGAAACCCCATCTCTACTAAAAATACAAAAATTAGCCGGCCTGGTGGTGTGCGCCTGTACTCTCAGCTCCTTGGGAGGCTGACGTAGGAGGATCGCTTGAACCTGGGAGGTGGAGGTTGCAGGGAGCTAAGATCATACCACTGCACTCTAGCCTGGGCAACAAGGTAAGACTCCATCTAAAAAAGAAAAAAAGTAAAGTTCTGAGTAGTAATTTCATTATTCTATGTTGGATTTCATTGTTTTCTAATTATTGTTTAAATATTTCTCATGGTGATATGGTTTGGCTCTGTGTCCCCACCCAAGTCTTATGTTGGATTGTAATCCCCTGTGATGGGGGAGAGACCTGCTGGAAGGTAACTGGATCATGAGGGCGGATTTCCCCCTTGCTGTTCCCGTGATAGTGAATGAGTTCTCATGAGGTCTGGTGGTTTGAAAGTGCAGCACCTCGCTCTTTGCTCTCACTCTCTCTCTCCCGTTCTGGCCATGTGAAGCAGGCCTGCTTCTCCTTTGACTTCCACAATGACTGTAAGTTTCCCGAGGCCAGCCCAGAAGCAGAAGCCTGTACAGTCCACAGAACCCTGAGCCGATTAAACCTCTTTCCTTTATAAATCACTCAGTCTCAGATACATGTTTATAGCAGTGTGAGAATGGACTAATACACGTGGGTTCAAATGTGGAGTGTGAGCTCTTTGAGTCTAAGGACAGTGCCACCTATGACCCAACTTACGGCACCCGGTAGTATGTACACATACGAGTAGTTATTCAGTTAATGTTTAGAACCATGTAGTCCCAGAGCTGGACTGAACATTTACAGTCATCTACCCCATCTAATGCTCGAGTTTTCTCCCTGTTATTCTTCTAAGTAGTTATCCGCAGGTCCTCTTTCAAACTCTATTCCTTAGAATTACTAGAAAGTGTCAGGGAAAGTAAAGACGCATACTGGGGTGAAGCAGGGGCTCCAGACCTGTCCCCCCTTCAATCAAATCTCTCTGCTTTGGTGAGTTTTACACATTTGAGCTTCTATGATTTCATTTCAACAAAGCATTAAAAGAAGTGTCGAATGCTACAATCTACCTTATGTCTGAAACCCTCTAAGGATAGTCAATGCTGGTCCTGAGCAAATAATTCATTTTCCGCATAACAGCTGCTCAATCATCTATCTATCCAATAGCCCTAGCAGTTAATACTCCACCTAGTATAACACTTTTTTAAAAAGTTTGGAGGAGAAACATTCTTATCATGAAAGGCACTTTGGAAAGTTTGAAAATATCTCTTACAGAAAATGTTAATGACAATCACCACATCTATAAATGGGAACAAATATAATAATTACAGAAAATAGTTGTTCAGAGTTTTATATGTGTTAGAGATGGTTCTAACTACTTGCAATTGTGCATTTAATCTTCATAACCCTCTAAGGTAGATACTGTCAGTATTTCCATTTTATAAATGAGGTAGCCTAGGTTGATGACATGCAGAAAAGTGAAGTAAATTTGACCAAGGACACACAGATAGAAGCCACATTGCTATTATGCCAACACAGGCAGCTGTCTCCATTTTACTAATATGCTATTTAACAGAAAACCCTAGACACCTAACTGGACCATAGCCTCATTGTGTCTTAGTCTAGTTCTGTGCCTGCCTCATACATTTCTGCCCTTCTCCATGCACAAATTTTCTCTTTGTTCTACCAGCCTGGGCTGCCCCACTTCAAACAGTATTTGTACACTTCCCACAGAGGTACCTCCTTACCGGAGCCTTGCAGCTGGCCTCGGCAATTCGGCCAGCTCCCTCTCCTGAAACTGCAGCTCCTCCTCCAGCACAGATTTTATAAGGTCTTTGCATTCTTCACAGTCTGAGAAAAGACAGACATGCCTGCATCATGGAAGGCTGGACGTGCTGCTGTGGTCACTGCCTGCAGGGCAGGAGGCAGGGTCTATCTCAAGGATAAAAGTATCCCCAGTACCAGGCTTTATACTGGGATTTCCATATCTTTATTCCTCAGTCTCTCAACTACTCCCCATTTTAGAGATGAGGAAGAAAAGCCCACAGGCCGATAAAGTAACATGACAAGATGATTCAACTGAAAAGAGACAGTTAGAATTAACATTCCCTGAGGTTTGACTCCAAATCTCTCTTTTTATTTTATTTTATTTATTTATTTTTTTCTCTTTTAGATGGAATCTCACTTTGTTGTCCAGGCTGGAGTGTAATGGCACAATCTCGGCTCACTGCAACCTGTGACTCCTGGGTTATTCTCCTGTCTCAGCCTCCCAAGTACCTGTGATTACAAGTGTGCACCACCACACCCAGCTAGTTTTTGTATTTTCAGTAGAGGCAGAGCTTCACCATGCTGCCCAGGCTGGTCTCAAACTCCTGACCTCAAATGATCCACCCACCTTGGCTTCCCAAATTGCTGGGATTACAGTAAGTGTGCCAATGCGCCCGGCCATGACTTCAAATCTTAAGGCCAATTTACCAAGCCTTACAGCCTCTTAAGTAAAACATGAACATGAGGGCATGAAATAATGACTTCCTGTGTGTTTGGGAGGATACTAAGAACTATAGGACTGATGATTCTCCTGTTTCAAGAGTTTCAATAATCCCAAAATATTTCAAAGATTTAAACATTTATCTGTATACAACTGTGTAAAATTGCATATGGAGGAGAACGATCCAAATGATATATGCCCAAATGCTAATAGGTGGTAGGTGGTGTTTTAAAGGGAGAACCAACACATAGTGTTTGTCATGGTACTGTTGCAGTAGGTTTTTAAGAATTATCATCATGTGATCATCACCACTATCCAAAGAGGTAGTTACTACCCTATTACCATTACAGATGAGGAAACTGAGGCACAGTGATGATAAGTTAGATTTGAACCCAGGAAATTTGGCCCTAGGGAATATGCTCTTTAATCACTGCGCAATAATACCTTTATACTAATGTCTTAGGTAATGTCTTTCTTCTTCTCTAGCTTGAGAAAATTTTGTCCTACAATTATAGGACATGAAGTTGTTGTTTTGTTTTTTTTTTAAACTAGTTTTTCCACACACCAAAGCTCATCTTTTCCCTTCTTTAGTAAGTGGGCTTTTGGCTTTACTTTTCTATGACAGTAAGTTAGACAGCAACTTTTAGCCACCCCCACCCCCACGCAATGATTTATTTTAAAATAATTGTGGAAATTGGAAAGCAAACTCAATTTCAATGTTAACCAGAATCCTCTTCTAATATCCCTGTTCCTCTCATGCCCTTGTTCCCATGTTTCCTTGTCATTACAGCTTCTCTCTTCCCCAAATATTAGTAACAGGTTTGGAGTTTTACAGCGGATTTACAAATGTGAGAGCTGACTGTGGAGAGGAAAGGGTCAGCCCCTAACCTGGCCTGGCCTTCTACTGAGAACAGCGGTCTGCTCCACTTGGCCTTGTTCTCATTTTGGCCATATGTCTCATAGCTCTGATCCTGGACGTCCACCTGCAGTTGTTTGCTGTCTGTAAAGCTGATACTCAGAGAGAGACAGAAAGGGTGTTACAAAGTCTCTGATTTTCTGGAAATACCCTCAATCTAACCAGAGCATGAGGAATGGCTTATTTGAACTTCTGTGGGAAGAGAATCTTGATCCAGGTATCATAAAGACTTTTCTCCATGTCTGCTACTGAAGTTCGCATCTCCACATATCTATGACTCAGTTGAGAGTAAGTAGTTTTAAGTTCCTTCAAGGAAGATAGGGTATATACTATTACCTCTTTCACCCCTGGCACAGTTCTTTGCAAATGGGTGTTCTTTAAAAAGTTTTCATAGAATCCTGAGCTGTTTTAACCAACAGTGATATTACATGTTTGTAGAAGCTGATACTCATTGCTGAGAAGGGAAAGACAGTTTCATGCCTAAACCAAGGTTTTAGTCTCTATTCCTCACTACACTTGCTCTGTAAACTTTACACCTTTGTGCCTCAGTTTTTCTGTCCTTGGCAAATTGAGAGTAAAATGCCCACTTCTACCTTTTTGGGAGGGTAGTTAGGATAAAATTACTTCTGATAGAGAATAAAGTCTGCAGTGTTTCATTTCACAGAGGAAAATGGACAATCATTTATCACTTTGGTGACCTTGCCCCTGTGGGACCTACTGTATTTCTGCAGGTGATTGGCCAGGGAGTAGGCAGTAGCTTTGGATGTCAGGAATTTCTCTGTGAGGTCTCGGAAGTTCTGTTTGCATTTTTCCAGTTCAGAGCGCAAGTACTGATTGGTTTCTAGGATGCTCGTTTCTGCCCTTGGACCAGAACAAGTGGTGGGAGATACGGCCATGCTGAAGCTTGTGGAGGAAGTGGAATCGGAGCCTAGGGAGAATAAACCCAAACAAATAATACATTAAAAACAAATGCATGGATTATGGTAATGGTTGCACTACTTGGGTAAATTACTAAAACTTATTGAACTGTACAATTACGATGAGTAAATTTCATAGTATGTAAATTACACCTCAATAAAGTTTCTTTACATTAAACAAAGATTTAAATGAGTCAAAAGAAAGCAGATCTGATTCATTACTTACTTTTGGGATAAACTTTATCAGCATCCCACAACTCTAAGAATCCTCAGCCACAAAAACAAGGCACAAGGTGCCCGAGCTTAGAGTCTAAGGTACTGTCTGTGGTTCAGGCTCTGATAGGAATGCCAAAGGTAAGACCTAGTGCCAGGTAACAGTCTGGAGTCACAATAACAGAATTAGAAGGTGGGGGTGTCATGGAATGTTAGGATATCTGCCTTCCAGGTCTAGGCCATATGGAAACACAAGGTCTTTTCTGAAGGACACCACCAATGGAGACAACTCTCCCTCAGCAGTCATTCTCAGCATTTGTATACCTTTGTGACAATACCACAGGCCTCATTCTAAAATTTAACCATATTTTCATTGTTTATTATTGCTAATGCATAGAAAACATCAAGAAATACATAGTTCCCTAAGTTCTATCATTCTCCTGAGGACTGACATGAAGTCATTTTCTTCCTAATGAAAACTTTAAAACTTCTAGATAGTCTTGATGTTCTTCTTTGGCGCTCCCATTTTCCACATCATTTTAATATTATAAGAAAAAATTTCTGAATATTCTTCTCAGTGTGTGAATAATTGATGTATATGGATTTAGAGGCCAGGTGCAGTGGCTCACACCTGTAATCCCAGCACTTTGGAAGACCAAAGTGGTTGGATCACTTGAGCTCAGGAGTTTGAGACCAACCTGGGCAGCATGGTGAAACCCTGCCTCTACAAAAAATCATTAAAAATTAACCAGGCATAGTGGCACATGCCTATAGTACCAGCTATTCAGGAGACTGAGGTGGGAGGATCACTTGGGTCCAGGAGTTTGCTGCTGCAGTGAACCAAGATCACGCCACTGTACTCCATGCTGGATGACAAAGTGAGACCCTGTCTCAAAGAATAAAAACAAAATAAATAATAAAAGGATTTTGGTCAATGTCTTAATATACTTCTTGCTGCAAACCAATGTTATACTGGCATCTTTTCTCCCACTGGGGAAGCATGTTAGTTTTTTGTTTGTTTGTTTGTTTGTTTATAGACAGGGTCTAGCTCTGCTGCTCAACCTGGAGTGCGATGGTGTGATCACAGCTCACTGCAGCCTCAAACTCCCAGGCTCAAGGGATCCTCCTGCCTCAGCCTCCTGAATAGCTGGGACTACAGGCACATGTCACCACCCTCAGCTATTTTGTGTGTGTGTGTGTGTGTGTGTGTGTAGATGGGGTCTCACTATGTTGCCCAGGCTGGTCTCAAACTCCTGGGCCCAAGTTATTCTCACACCTTGGCCTCCCAAAGTATTGGAATTACAGGTGTAAGCCACCACACCTGGTCCATGTTGGATTTTCACTTAACTTGAGGACAAGTTTTATATTCGTAACTCCTAACCCCACTCCCGTATGTGTGGGTTGCTTTGTGTTATGATCTCTATATACATATTTTGTGCTTGTCACTTATGATTTTCATTCTAACTCTACAGGTTTTCTTTCCAATTTGTCGTAATCACTGAAATAATTTATGTATATCTCTTTAAATACATGTAGTGGCCACCTAATTTGGAATGACTTATAAACTGTTAGTATATGTTTGAAGCAGTTTTTATGGAACACTAAAGATCTGCATTGAGCCAAAGCCATTGGCCTGAGGATATATTCTCAGACAGATCATGGTAAAAATCAAGGTCATGAGTCTGTGGTGGTTGGTGGTGATCAACAGCATTCCTGTGCAATGGGGTTTAGTGGGATAGAAACTGAGGTTTTAAAGACAGGCATATATAGACAGAAGAGAAGTGATCCCCTGATGTACCTCTTCATTTCCTATGTATCAATTCCTCCTTGGCTTTGTGAGACTGAGATAGGGAGACTCTTATGGAATATCTGTCCTTTCCCTTCAGCTGCCTGACTTTCCTGGGCTACTGGCCTACACATGTGTAACCATGGTCACCTCCACATTCATGACAAACAGAAGGAAGCAGGACCAACAAACTGCATACCCTACATGCTAACCTGAAACTATAGTGCATAACAGTATTAGTTTGTGAGATATATCAGAAACTATATGATTTTGGTCCTTTTAAATTTATTAAGATTTATTTTAAGGGCTAGCATATGCTCTATTCTATAGAACATCCCATGTACACTTGAGAGGAAGTGTATTCTGTTTTTGTTGAGTGGAGTATTCTACAGATGTCTGGTAGGTTATGTTGTTTAAATCTTTTATTTCTTTATTGGTCTTCTTCGTAGTTACTCTATCCATTATTGAAAGTTGTGGTATTAAAGTCTCCATCTACTATTGTTAAATTGTCTATTTCTCCATTCAATTATCTCAGTTTTTGCTTCCTGTGTTTTGAGGCTCTGTTAGATGTATATGTATTTATTGCACTCTCTTCCTGATTGATTAACCCTTGTATCATTACAAAATATCCTCATTGTCTTTGATAACTTTTTTGTCTTAAAGTCTCTTGTTTATTTTTTCTGGTATTAGGATAGTTGTTACTGAAACGCCAGAGGTTTGATTTAAGTCTTGCTGCTCACTGCACAGAAAGCCAATCACTGAATCCAACTAGTATTGCCAGGGAAGAAGGCTTTCGTCAGGTACTGCAACTTAGGAGATGGGAGATCAGTCTCAAATCCATCTTCCTGACCAATGAAAAGTCGGGGTTTAGATAGCAGGGAAGAAATGTAACTACATGCAGAAAAACAGGAATTAGGGAGAGGTAAGAAAGAGGAATTGGTCAACAGGAAGCAGGTAACCACTTAGGCATTTATGATGGGGTGAGGGGTCTGACATCTTGCTGTGCAGATGTGGTATTCTGGTAAATTTCAGTTCTTTGCTACTATCTGGAAGGCCCATGGTTGGTTTCCTGAGAAAGGAACTCAGATAATACAAATGTAACTTTCTCAGATTTCAAGACTGAGAGGGTCAATTTCTATGTTTATTCAAAAGAAACCATAAACATCAGTTCCATGGGACAATTGGGTTGGGTTAAAAGTCACTTCAGCTTTCTTATGGTTGCTAATTACATAATTATGTTACATTGTATGGTAAAGGGATTTTGCAGATATAATTACATTAACCTTAAAATGGGGAGATAATCCAGGTTGACTAATATAATCACATGGGCCTTTAAAGTCTGGGTCTAGAGGTCAGAGGTCAGCAATCTAGCAAGTCAGAGAGATCCAAAACATGTTAGTGATTCAATGAGGAAGAAACTCTTCATTGCTGACTTTGAAGATGGTGAGAGTCACAAATAAATAAAGTCCTCAGTCCAACAACTTCATAATTAGTGCTACCTGCAAATATGAGTTAACAATACTTTTAAATGCATTTACAATATGTGGTGAACAGATTCACATTGTCTCTGCCTACTCTTCTCTTTCGCTTTGTCCCTGCATGCTATGTCTGTCTGTCTAGATGGGGGGACACAAACACCAGGTCTTTGTGCAGCCTTCTCTCCTGGAATGCTATGGCTCTCTAGAGCCACTGCTGAAGGTGGCTGAGTACAGGCAATTGATGGTGTTAGAAGCCATAGGCCCTTGATTAATCCAGGCTCTAACCTTCACTCACCTCAAAGTCCTAAGAGTCCTCCTTAAAGCTTCCTATCAGATTTATACAGATTATTACCCACAAACCTTGCTCTTCCTTGGACCCCTAAGGCCAGGACTTCTAATATCTTCATCATGTTTGAGGTATCTAGTAAGTCTTCTTTCTGGAGTTTCAGTTACTTCATCCCCACTGCCAAGTGAAAACTTACCAGATGACCAGCCCAAAGCCTCATATGCAAATCAGGGCTAAACAGTGACTGGATGATATTTTGTCTAGATCAGCCATAGGTATTGTCAAATGTGACAAGAATATTATTTCTAAAAGTTCCACACTACAGAAACACACTAGAACTTACTTCCCACGTTAAAAGACAAGTTGGAAGAGTGGCTGTTACATCTCAGGCCAAGCATTAATCTTTCCAGGATTACAACTTGGCTCCAAAAATTGCCAAGATATTGCTTAGACAAATTATTTAATCTCTGTTATACCAAAATTATTGCCAGGTCCCCACAATTTGCACCTGGCTGCTATGCCTCTATGAAGACTGCAAATACCTATGAGTAAGAGTCCAAAATAAGCTTTCTAAATCAATTCAGACCTGTCTCACATACTTTTTAGTTTACAATTTATAACCATGAAGGAATTCTGAGTGGTGATGCCCTGACCTTTGGCAAAATTCTTATAGGTGCTTGGAACCAGCTTGAGCTATCTTTATTGCTCAAACCAATAGGACAATTTGCTGAGGCCTCAGAGATCCACCCCCTCCAGAGAATCCCTGATTTCCCAAAATTTGGTTGAGATCTAAGGTTTATTTTGCTGTACAACTCATTTTCTGGAGTTTTACTTGCTTCCAGCAATGAAGGCAAGTTTTTCTCCTTCCATAATGATGGACAGCAGGCAATTCCTTTCTGGAGTTTCAGTTCACTTCTGACAGGGAAGGAGAGTTTGATTTTTTCCTGCTTCTAGGATGGTACAGAGCAGTCTTCAGCCTGGGCCCCATTCCTATAAGTAACTGAATCTGTGTTTTGTCTTGGAAATTCTCCTAAATGACTAAAGTTAAGATTAACAACCAACTGGTCATAATTTCTTCTTACCATTAGAGTGCTCAGCAATCATATAAATTGTGTGATCATTACTTTTCTTAACTGTTTTGTTTGTTTGTTTCAGTTTTTGTTGTTGTTTCCTTCTTTTCCCCATTGGGTTTGACCCATTCTATCTGACTTGATCAAATCCAAAGGAAAGTTCCAAATTATGGGGACAAGGCCTCTGAATTGGATAAATCCCTGCAGAAAAATAAATAAATAAATAAAATGTAAAAAGAGGGAGAGCGAAAGGGAAAAAAAAACAAAAACAAATCCAGCCATCAAGAAAATAAAGGTTTTGGCCAGGCGCAATGGCTCATGCCTGTAATCCCAGGACTTTGGGAAGCAAAGGCGGGTGGATCACGTCAGGAAATCGAGACCATCCTGGCTAACATGGTGAAACCCCATTTCTACTAAAAATACACAAAAATTAACCAGGCGTGGTGGTGGGCGCCTGTAGTCCCAGCTACTGGGGAGGCTTAGGCAGGAGGATGGCGTGAACCTGGGAGGTGGAGCTTGCAGTGAGCCAGGATC